AGTTCTCGATTCAGATACTCTGTTTAAGTATTTAACTTTAGAAGAATCAGTCGATTCGGTTCGAGAGTTTTGTTCAGTCCTAGGTTCTAAAAAGTTAACCTTCCTCAAGACCAAAACCATCCGCAGTATTTGATTCCCCACCTTGCAAATCAAGAAATATTTTCTTAAAATGAAACAATAGTGTAAACCAAAGGTAGATAAGAACAGTGACTCGCTGCAGTCCAGTTAGCCTGACTTGTGGAAGTAATGGCCTCCAATGTATGAAGTGCACGTACAATCCACTTTCTAAAATAAGTCCCAATGACTTATTATCTCTTATTATTCTTATAGTGGTTACCAAGGCATAAGCAGATATTACAAAAAGCACAAAGAGCTAATCTTTGGTGCTGGCGCTAGTGCTAACAGTGATAGCAAATGACTTTAGATTTTCTTATGGAAGTGGGTTCCGATAAGGATATTCGGTAGGATATCAAAACACAAGGGTACAATGAGTCTAGAAAATGTAGGCGGGGGCGAAAAGCGAGAGTTGATGGTTTATGTGTGGTCGGCGGGCGACCATGGTTTCTAGTTGCTGTAATTTTAGGGTGGTGGGATTATGTGAGATGCCAGTGAGTTGAGGGTTGTTGGCAGTAGTGGAATCAGGCAGATGAGATTACTATTTCTGGTATAGAGGGCAACAGTTGGTGATGTGTCCGTGGTTGTCGGCGATGAAGGTAGATGAGGTAGCTGCGGTGGCGAGTGTTTTCAACCAGTGCGAAGAAGTTGGTGGTGTGGTAAAGTAGTGGCGTTACATAGGTTAGGGCATAGGATTCAGTGGAAGAAGTTTAGGTTGTCGGTAATGGATGTCAGTGATTGATGGATGGTCGACGGTGAGTATCGAGTGACGATTTGGGAAAGTAACTGAGAATTTTGCAATGGAAGAGCTGAAGAAGACAATGAAATGGCGGGAAAATTCTGTATTCACCGTTAATGAAAATGGCGTGATACATGGGTATTTATAGACAGTGTAGTAGCTAAAATGTACAAAAAGACAAAAATGACCCTGTACAAATTACAAATTACAAATTTATCTTAATACACCCCCTCAAGATGGAGTATGAATATTCAATACTCCCATCTTGTTTAACAGTAGCTGGAGTCGTGTTCCATTTAGTGATTTGGTTAGCAAGTCAGCCAATTGATCCTGTGATGCTGTATAGATCATTTTTACTTCTCCTACTTGAACTTTATCCCTTACCAAATGACAATCGATCTCTATGTGTTTCGTGAGCTCATGAAACACAGGATTATTAGCAATGTGTATGGCGGATTGATTATCACAAAACAATAGTGCTGCCTGATTATGTCCAACACCCAAATCACCAAGGATGTTCTTCAACCAACTTAATTCACAAACCGCAGCTACCATTGATCGATATTCTGCTTCTGCTGAGGACCTTGAGACCGTGTGTTGCTTTTTGGATTTCCAAGATACAAGTGAGTTCCCCAGAAAGATGCAGTAACCAGTTACAGATCTTCTAGTGTTTGAGCAAGCTGCCCAATCAGCATCGCAAAATCCTTTAAGATGCAAATCAAGGTTTGCTTCAAAGAATAGACCCTGACCTGGTGTGCCCTTTATGTACCTCAACACATGGTGAGCTGCTGCCAAATGTGACTGCTTTGGAGATTGGAGGAACTAACTAAGTAGCTGCACCGCATATGATAAGTCAGGTCTTGTAATTGTTAAGTATAGAAATCTACCTACTAGTCTTCTATATACACTGGCATCTGTGAGTGCCTCTCCTTCATTCATACTTAGCTTCAAATTGTGTGGTAAAGGGCTGTGTGCTGGTTTTGCCCTAGTATATCCAGCATCTGTTAAAATTTCCAATGCATATTTACGCTGGCAGACTGATATCCCCTTTGAAGATCTGGCAATTTCAAGTCCTAAAAAATATTTCAGAATTTCCAGGTCTTTTAGCCTGAACTGATCATTCAACTCCTTTTTGAATTGTTGTATATGGTTCAGATCATTGCCTCCTATAATTATGTCATCTATATATATGAGGAGAACCGTAAATGAGCTGCCTTTCTCCTTACAAAATAATGAATAATCTGATTTTGATTGTCTAAACCCCTTTGATAAGATGTATGTAGTCAACTTTGCATTCCACTGCCTCGACGCTTGCTTAAGTCCATAAATGGACTTGTTTAGTTTGCAAACTAGCTGCTATCCATCCACCCCCTGCTTCTCATATCCCGGAGGCATAAGCATATATACTTGCTCATCGAGATCACCATGCAAAAAAGCATTATTGATATCCAGCTGATGAAGGTGCCAACATTTCTGTGCCGCAACAGCCAACAAGGTTTTCACTGTGACCAGTTTTGCAACAGGTGAAAAGGTTTCCTCATAGTCCAACCCAGCCTGCTGTGTGAGCCCTTTGGCTACAAGGCGAGCCTTCTTTCTTTCCTCCGAACCATCTGCACGAAGCTTGACCTTAAACACCCATTTACAAGCTATTGGTGTCTTGTGAGAAGGCAGCTTAGTGACAGTCCAAGTATTATTGGACACAAGTGCTTGATATTCAGTATCCATAGCCTTGCACATCCTGATGTTGTGATGCTTCAGCATAAGATTGAGGCTCATAGACAGTAGAGAGAGCCAGTGCATATTTTCTATGAGGAGCAGATAGCATATTGTAGCCCAAATAATCTGAAATGGGGTACTGTTTACTAGATGCAGAACCTTTTACCAAGGAATCAGATTGGGGATAAGGCTTTTGAGACACCAAACTACAATGGTAATCACGAAGGTATGAAGGAGGGTGTTTGGTTCTGTTAGATTTTCGAGTGACAGGAGCTGGTGAATTAGAATTTATCACAGGAGAATGATGATCAAAACTGGATTCTGGAGTGCTAGAAGAAAAACCAGGAGGAGAAATAGCTAATATTGGGAAGTGATGATTAGAATGAGTTTCTGGGATATGTGCAGATGGGAAAGATGGAATATCATCAGAAGGATAAAAATGTGGATAAAATAGAGGCTGATCAGCTTCAAGGGAAAGACTGAAATTTGATAAAGACTTCAGAAAATCTGAGTTACGAAATGGAAATATGTTTTCATGAAATATGACATCTCTTGAAGCAACGATGGAATGGGATTGAAGGTCATACAATTTATAGGCCTTCATCCCATGGGGGTATCCAAGAAATATACAAGGCTTGGCTCGTGGATCAAACTTTGTTCTATTCCTTTTTAGGGTAGATGTATAGCAAAGGCATCCAAAGACCCTTAGATGACTGTAAGATGGTTTTTCTTGGTATAACATTTCAAAGGGAGATTTGTTTCCAAGAATAGTAGTAGGAGTTCGATTGATAAGGTGTGTGGCAGTTAATATGCAGTCTCCCCAGAACTGGTTAGGTAAATTGGCTTGGAATTTTATGGCACGAGCTACATTAAGTAAATGTTGGTGTTTGCATTCGACAACCCCATTTTGTTGAGGTGTTTCAACACAGCTTAACTGATGCAACATTCCCTTGGAAAGGTAGAAGTCATGCATGTGAAACTCAGATCCATTGTCTGATCTTAAGGTTTTTAAACTACAATGGAAATGTGTTTGGATCAGATTATAAAATGATTGGATGATGGACCTAGTTTGAGATTTTTCTTTCATAAGATATGTCCATGTCATCCGGCTATAATCATCAACAATGGTCAAGAAATATTTCGAACCATCTAAGGCGGGAATAGAATGTGGTCCCCAGATGTCACAATGTATGAGATCAAATATGTTCGAACTTCTGGTGTCACTTTTAGGAAAAGGTAGCCTATGTTGTTTTGCTATAGGACAAATGGTGTAATGCAAATGTTGATCAAAAGTAATTGTAGGAACAATTTTATGCAAAAGTGATAGTTTGGAAGTAGGAATATGTCCCATTCGACAATGCCATATATCAATGTCAGTATGAATGTCCCTTTTACATGGAAAATTACATACAGCAGGATCAGAATTATTACAATCAAGATGTGGAGTAGGAACTTGTACATCAATGAAGGAAGCTACATTGTTGAGAACAGGAAGGATAGACTTTGTTGGAACACTTTGAGAAGTGGAAGAAAGTTGCCCATTGAGTTGATTATCAGAACCTTGGAAATGATATAAACCATCTTCAAGTTTCCCTACCCCAATCGTCTTCCAGGTGAAAAGATCCTGAATGAAGCAAAAGTGATGTAAGAATAACAACAAACATTTATGCTTGATAACAAGATTGCTGGCGGAAATCAGATTGAAGTTGAAGCTTGGCACAACTAATACATCAGTTAAGGTTAATGCATCAGATAGCTTCACAATACCAATGTGTGTAACTTGTGCAATATCCCCATTTGGTAATCTTACGGAACCTTTAGTTTTACTAGTCACAGCAGTCAATTGATTAATGGAACACACCATATGTTCTAAAGCCCCGGTATCAATGATCCATTTACCTGGATTTAGATAGCATGCTCGATTACCTGAAAATGCAAAGCCATCAGGTGCATGTGTAGAAGAAGACATAACCTCCTGAGGTTGTTGACCTTGCAGCTGTGGAGCAAGCACGGTCATAATGTGCTGGCGTTGGCTTGGTGTGATAGTGAGGTTGGACAAAGAATTGATCAGCTCTGAATTATTTGCCTGGGAAGCCTGACCTACAGCATTGGCAACTGAAGATTTCCCTTTGGCAAGCCTATGTCCAGGGGGATATCCAACCAATTTGTAACATTTCCCCCTGAGATGGCCTAACATTCCACAATAAGTACATATAGGCATTCCTTTCCTTTGAGTTTGATTGGATACATTGTGTCTCTGATTTCTATATGGATTAGACATAACCTTGTTGGCAAAAGCTGCTACATCAAAATTCTGTTGTTTCTTAGCAACAATTCCTTTCTGCCTTTCATCTTGTAGGACTAAGGCAAACACCTTGTTCAGTGAAGGTAGTGGATCCATTAATAAAATTTGGCTTCTCACACTGGAAAATCAATCATCTAGACCCATTAGGAATTGCATAACTTGATCTTCAGTTTTGTAGTCTGCACTACTTACCTCCGGCCTATAATTGTCTAATTCTTCCCATAGGCCTTTAAACCGATTGAAGTAAGAATTGATGGAGTTATTGTCCTGAGAAATTGAAGCAATTTGCTTCTTTATCTCATAAATTTGAGATCCATTTCCTTGGCTGTAGCGATCTTTTAGTTCAATCCAAATCTGCCGAGCTGAATCCTTATGCATTACACTTGGATAAAGTTCCTTTGGAATGGAATTTATGATCCAGGAAGAAACTACATGATTGCATCGCCTCCAAGCACCATAAACCAGATCATTCTCAGCAGGTTTAGTAATGGATCCATCAATAAAACCTTCCTTATTTTTGACACTGAGAGCTATGATAACTGCACGACTCCATGTGGTGTAATTATCCTCAGATAACATGATAGCTATGAGCTGCATACCTGTATTGTCGCCATAGTGGAGATAATAAGGACTGTTAGGATCATTTATCGATCGATTAACAGTATTATTTGCATCTCCAGCACTCTGATCTATAACAAGAGGATCGACTGCTGGATCAGCGTGAGCTGGCTGATGTTGAACCTCTACTTGTTGATTAAACTCTCTTGCCATTGCCAAAAGAAACTTCAATGCTCTGATACCATGAGAATTTTGCAATGGAAGAGCTGAAGAAGACAATGAAAATGGCAGGAAAATTCTGTATTCACCGTTAATGAAAATGGCGTGATACATTGGATATTTATAGACAGTGTAGTAGCTAAAATGTACAAAAAGACAAAAATGACCCTGTACAAATTACAAATTACAAATTTATCTTAATAGTAACTGCGCTAGTCGTTGTGTAGGTGTTGGGCTTTTTGGATTAAAGGGATAATCGAGTTTTGGTATGTATGTATTGAACTGGATTTGGTATAGGGTATAGGTCAGGTATTAATTATATGGGGCTGTTAAAATTGTGGGTATTTGGGCTTGTGTGTGATATTGGGCTGTGGGTTATATAATGGAGTTAGAACTTAGACTAATTAGAGTTGGGGACCACGTGGGTCGGGTTTGGGCTGTGGTGGAATTGGAAACGGAGTAGGGTAAGGAACAGCAAAGTGAAGTTAGAATGAACAGCAGAAAAAATCAAAGATGGCAGCAAATTTCTTTCAGAAACTAATGAAAATACTAAAACTGAATTTTTTCGAGGTTTGAACAGTATCCGCGATCAGTATGATGAACTATAACTTTTTTTTCAACTAAGAAACAAACAAAGGCTGAAAATTGTTGCTTCTCAGATTAGTGATTCTTTTCTCTTCCTTTTGTGTTGTTCCTAGAATTTATTATTATTATTATTATTATTATTATTATTATTATTATTATTATTATAGAATGGTTGTATGGCTTGGAGGGATGGTGAAAGGTGTGGATGTATGTATGGATTGGATGGAAACGGTTGGAGGAATTTTGAATTTGTGAAGATGGAGGTCAAAGGAGAATGAATGGCTCTGATGCTAAATCTGATGTCGGACCAATTGACACAATAAATGGAGAATAAAAACAAAACTATAGAGAAGAATATATTAAAGGAAGTAACAGTAGACGAAGAAGCAACAGAAGAAATAGAAGAAAATTAGAGAATAGAAATTCTGCCACAAGCCAACAAATACTTTATTCACTCATCAATTGTTTGAATTACACAACGAATCAAATATAAATAGTAAAACCAAACCTCTAAAGAAAGTGGACTTGGGCCAAGCCCATTGTACAAGTCCAATAACATATATATAAATAAGACTTTCAAAAGTAAATGAGAGTAGGGGTTGGCATGGGTTGGGTTGGGTTGGGTCGATTTTTTCCCCAACCCAAAACCAACCCAACATGGTCGGTTTTATTTAAAGTCAACCCAACCTAATTAATGGTTTAAACCCAACCCAACCCAACCTGATCAAGTTTGGGTTGGTTTAGGTTTGGTTGGGTTGATCGGTTTGGGCTTCGGTCTAATTAAAGTTGAATTCGATTATATTTTTGTTAAATTTAGATAAATTTTTAAAGTTTGAAATTACTTGAAAATCTCTGATTTTTTTTAAAAATACTTATGTAAGGAATTCTTTTTGAAAAATGATGTATAAATAAGTTTAAAATTTATGAAGTATTTTTTATTATTATTATTATTATTATTATTATTATTATTATTTTACAATTTTTGGTATTTATTCATTTCATCATCATCTTTTTAATTTTTACTTTATTATGAAATAACATTTCATTTGTAAATTATGTTTAGAGGAATCAATCTATATATAAAAAAAAATGGACGTTTATAAATTATAAGTCATTTTCCTATCTTTACTGTTGTTATTATTTAGATTTTTTTTTTCATCTTAGATATTATTTTTTTTAATTCATCGGGTTGGGTTGGATTGGGTTGAGTTGGGTTTTAAATCATAACCAGAAACCCAACTCAACCCAACCTCAAAAATATTTTTTCAACCCAACCCAATTGAACTTAAAAAACCAAACAAAATCGATCGAGTTGGTTTGGGTTGATCGGGTTGAGCGGGTTGGGTTGGGTTGGGTTTTGCCCAGCCCTAAATGAGAGTCCAAATATCAATAAATAAAAATGATGTCCTCATTAACTCTCCAGGGGTGGGAGAAAGCTCGACTCTATTGAGTGGACAGATCACGAAAGGTTACAGTCAATCTTCCAACCATAAGCTAAGTGGTTGAGCTTCTTTCAACGTATCAGAAGCGTCCAAGGTTGCTACATTGTACTTTAATGATATTGTCAAATTGTATGGGCTTTCGAAGAGCATTTTGTCAAGTAGGGATATACGTTTCACTAGCCCTTTTTGGAGAACCTTATGACCAAAGATTGGTACTAAATTGAAATTTTCTACGGCCGGTCAAACGGAAGTGGTTAATCGTAGTCTTACTAATTTGTTAAGATGTTTGGTCCGGGAAAATCTTAGAAATTGGGATTCGTTTCTTCCTACATTTCAAATTGCATGTAATAGTTCTATGAATCGATCGTTAGGAATTAGCGCATTTGAAATTCTTGGGTTTAATCCTAGAAAGCCTTTAGATCTCATTCCAATGTCCCCAAATGCTAAAGATTCTATGTCATGTGAGGCATTTACACAACATCTTCATGACTTATATATTGAGATCAATAAACAACTTGAAGCTAGTAATACATCATATAAATTTAAAGCTGTTATGAATAAACGACATGCTGAGTTTAATATTGGGGATTACGTTATGGTCCGAATTAGATCGAAGCAGCGTCTACCTGGACTCACCTCCAAATTGTAAACTCGTAGTGCTGGTCCTTTTACAATTTTAAAGCAAGTTGGCCCAAATGCATATGTTGTTGACGTCCCAGCACACATTGGATATCACTCTACTTTCAATGTTAAGGACTTAATTGCTTGTAAAGGTTATTTCACTCCCACCGATGCTATTCTACCTTCATCTGTGGACTGTGGTCTAGATTCTCTTGCCACTTCTAATCCAATACAACCTTTCACAGTACACACAGATAAAATTAATGCTATTTTAGATAACCAAATTGTGTTGACCAATCATGGAGAGATTCAGCACTTCCTTGTTCGTTGGATTAATCAACATGATTCTAACTTTACATGGATCTTCAGAGAGACATTACAGCAGCTTGACCCAAATTTGTTGGAGCTCTATCGGAGTCAGCATGATCTTTCTTGGCTCAGATCACCTCCCATCCACTCAGGGAGAGTTGTTGAAGACACCAAATTCAGACCTCCATTGGCACGTTTTTACACATGTCGGAAGAAGCTTGTTCAACCACTTAGCTTATGGTTAGGAGTTTGACTATAGCCTCTCGTGATCTATCCACTCTATAGGGCCGAGTTTTCTCTCCCCCTCGAAGGTTAATGACGATATCTATTTTTATTTATTTCTATTTGGAATCTTATTTACGTTTTTTACTCTTATTTATATTTATGTTATTGGACTTTTACAATGGGTTTTTACACCAGAGTTAAAATTATTTGCACAAAATATTCAAAATACTTACAAATAAACAATCACCAACGCACTCATTTTGCAAGTTGATAACATCAAAACGCTTAATTCGGCAAATATGTGGACAAAACTGGAATTCTCAGGTCCAGCTAAATATTTACTTGCTGATGGAGATCGCCTTGATCAATTGTTATATATACCTGAAGTGGAGACGCACATTTCACAAGCTGTTCAGTTACACCTCACGCTATTTATTCTCATCGTTGATATTGAACAAGCAACTTTTATGAGTTCCATTCCTGTCACAAAATAATTGATAAAGCAAAGAAATGAGTGAAATGCACATCTAGTGACTAGTGCTTTGATAATCCTTAAGAACCCGTCAAAATAAACAGAGAAAAGTGAAATAAATAATAACAAAAGCAAGCAAGCGCGTGAACACACACATATATATGTGGTGACCTTCCTCCTACCAATGAATTTGACAAATAATCACATCCCTTAAGCTAATCCAATGGTGCTCCGATTGCTTTGCTCGTTTGAACTGGAGACCGATCTCGGGATGTAGTTCTTGTTCTTGCCACACAGAGACCCGGAGATCTTGACAGTGCTATCCCTGACCGCATTGACGAAGTTATTGAATTTTGACTACCACAGGAGGATAAGCATTACAAACTGCTGAAACTATACTTGAACAAATACCTCTGTGGTGAAGAAGTATTAAGAAGTAACCGCAGAAAATAACCATAAAAGATCTGCTGGATGATGTCTTGCGAGAGGCTGCACGGAAAACAGAAGGGTTCTCGGGTCGTGAGATTGCAAAACTCATGGCTAGTGTTCAAGTAGCTGTATACACCCGGACTGTGTTCCCAATCTATTCATGTCGATCGTGGATTACCAGGTTTAAGAGCATCACCAGCAAATAAAACTGACATCCGAAGGTGGTGAGCCAGCTTAGGATTATTCCTATTGTATGGTAGTGGTTTTTCACAATCATCCCAATGACACGGAAATTTCATAATCAGTTGTTGATTCGATTGATTAAGTTTGTTTAAGCAAGCCAGTGACTAGAATTTTGTGGTGGTAAATGTACTTCTTGGTTATGATTAGATGCGATAGCTAATGTAACTTTTAATTTTGTGCTGTGAATCAGCATTGATCTTTTGTATTGTGCCTATTTTGGTGAACGACCATAATAACTTGTGTAAAGATGGGAAGAAATCTTTTAGTTTTAGAACTGACCTTGAACTTGAGTTGATCTAAGAGTAAAAGATTAGATAGTTTTAAAAATGAGCTTTGCTGGGGCTTGGGATGAATCAATGCTAAGGGAAACGTTAAATCAAATTTGAAGCATAGCCCTTGTTTGATTCCCATTATATAATAATTTATATTTTCTCTTATTCATTTTCAATTATATATTTTAACAATAATTTAATTTGCACATAAACTTAGTCTTTGTTTGAGCCTCATTATTTTCATCAAAATACACTGTTTAACGGTGATTTGATTTTATTTCAATCACACATTTTTCATTAAAATAATATTATACGTAAATTCAAAATTTTTCTTTATTTTTAACTATATATTTTCAATCAATACACTATTCAAAAATTCTTGTGTGTGTGTGTGTATCAAGAATGGAGCTCAAACAAGGGCTATAGAAACAATTCACGTTAATTTTGACTAATCAAATTTGTCGATGTTTTGAAATTTATGACGAGCATGGTTGGAGGACCAGAAGGAATGTTAATCAAATTTGAAACAAATTATTGAAACACTCTTTGTTAGACTCGACTGATGAAGTTATCTTACTTGTGTTGATATTGACATCATTTGTTGACTAAATTTCATGTCAACATATAGCTATTTCCCCTTTTTGTCCTCAATAAAGTGGACGAGAGAAAATATTAAAATGCAAAGTATGTACATATTTGTTCGTCTCTAGAACATATAGGCATGTTTGAAAATTATATCAGACCTTTATATTATCAACTTATTAAAGTTAATCATTTCCATTTTAATAGTCACTCAAATCGATTTTACCCACAAAAACAACCGATTCATTTAGCCAACATTATAGTTATAGGTGGCATGACTATAATTATTAATTGTTCTTAAGGTTGTAATCCCTAAAAATGTTCTTAAGGATGACTTAACATAGAATTTAGCTGACTAAATAATAAAATTTCAAAACCTATTTACAAGCGTACAAATTTGAATAATTCCATAAGTGCAGAAAATTATTGACAAAAATGATACAAGTGTTGTATGATAAATTTCTATGTTTGTTGTGTTAAAAATCAATAAAAATCTGTCAAGTTTTTCTTTGTAAAAATCCTGTCAATTATCGACAATTGTGGGAACATCGAAATTTCATAGAGGAGAACGCAAAGAAGGACGTCTAGTGGCAGGGCGTCTCCGAAGTGCTCGCGCGATCTCATGAGCGGCCATCATTAAGTCGGCTGGGCTGCCTGCAATCCGCTTCCGGTATATGAGTCACTTTGAAATTTAGACATTGGCCTAAGGTCTTCCCAGGCAAATTTTTTCTGTACAAATTTTCCTAAACCGAATCGATGATGTCCAATTCCAATAATCCTGGGAGAGCTGCTTTCATTGGCCACTTGGCGTTGGCGAGAAGAAAAGCCTGCAAAACTGTAAGAACTCACCACCACAAAACCGTCGCAATAAAATATGCCAAAACATCGGTTTTCTCGCCATAAATGTACGTGGCAAAATGGCAGAAATACTCGTTCCATGCACCCCTACACAACTGCCACGTTGCACCCGATTCTCTATAACTTCCACAATTACAATTCGAAAGGGAAAACAAATTTATTCCAGCAATTTGAATTTGAAGAGTTCTTTCGAGATTTGCATTTAAGATAATGGGTAACAGGATGGTGTGGTTTGTGGTGTGCTTTGCGGCGGTGGTTTCTTTGGGGTGGTGTTGGGGTGAAGATTCGGCGGAGACAGCGAATTTGGCTGCTGGGAATATGAAGGTTCGAGTGGAAGAGGCCAAGAAAAGTGCTTCCGAGACGGTGCAGGATGTTAAAGAGAAGGCTGATTCCTGGACTGATTGGGCTATGAACAAATTGTCTGAGTGAGCATTTGTTATCTTCAATTTCTTTATCGTTGATCGCATTTTTGCCTGAATACAATCAAGCGTTCATAAGCATATCACTCAACCAATCATTTCCTGCCATATATGCTGCTGTCTGCTACAGGCTAGAAGATTACAGGCCTTTACAGACATACACAAGTAGGTGTGGGGGTGGATATTTTTGGGATAATTTTTTAATAAGGTGGGCCTGCCCACATCTGCCCATATGTGAGTAATCTGTATGTTTTATGTGAAATATGGCTCCACACATATAGCTTTAATATATAATTTACGAGAAATGCTAGGTTTATATCATGGCTGACAGCTGTCTAATAGGGGATGGCCTACAATGATAATTAGAGGCTGTCAAACTAAGTGTACACTTAGCATTTTTCATAGTTTAGAGGTGTAAAGTGGATTGGATCAACCATACATGCTAATGTGGTCCTAAAAGTAATGTCCAGGAGATTTTATAGGGAAATGTACACATTTGGTGTTGTTCCATGTTCGATAAATAATCTTCTCGAGTATAACATGCAACTTGGACAATAAAGGAGCAACTTGGAAGTCAATGAAAATTTTCTCTAAGAATTTAGTTCGGGGATAAGTTGAATCTTTTCATCGCATTTGAGAAATTGCAGATAGAAAATAAGCCACGTTGATTGCTTAGAGTGGATGATTTTTCAACTGCAATTGAGATTAGAAGTCAGGTTTAAGCAAAAATGAAAATGGCTTTCTTAGTGCGTGGAAACTCAATTGCACATTCTCTTTTATTATGCTTATATGCATATAACTTCAATAATTTCTTTGCATTCTCAAGCCACAAGTAGAAAACCAGTTCTTTCTTGTACAAAATAAGAGAGCTTTCGCTACAATTTCCTCCTTATGGGGAGAATGTTACCACTCCTGTTTTAGTTTTAATGTATACATCAACAAAAGTATACATATATCTACTACTTAATTGCCTGGCTTTGCAGTGCTTGAATTGATTGGCTGGTTAAGGAAAAGTACAATGGTTGTAGATTTAGGCATTAATCCATTTCATTGCCTTCTGGTTGGCATCACTTGAATCATATGATCGATGATTTCAGGGGATTTGGATCCAGTCAAGATAGCGCGAAAGATGCAGGTCAAACGATCAAAGAAAACGTTAAGCATGCTGCTTCAAAATCCGCAGATACACTGAATTCAGCAGCATATGGTGATTCTTTCAACATTTTTCGCACTTCTTTCCTTGTGATATCAAAATTAAAATAATTATTTATGACATTGAATGTTTCTTTTCCAGAACCATCAAACTATGCTATGGAGAAGGCCAACAATGTGGCAGAAACAACATCCGAGCAAATGGGTAATGCCAAGAACTATGCTTCAGAAAAGGCTGGTCAAGCCATGAATACAGCATCTGACGTGGCTTATGATGCGAGAGAAATTGGGAAGGACAGAGCAAACAACGTTTATAAAACAGCTTCGGATTTGGCTAGCGAGGCACAAGATAAAACTCATGATGCCTACAACTTCGCCTCTAACAAAATGGGTTCAGCAAGGGGTCGGGTTTATGATATGGCTGATGATGCCAAAGACTCTCTAAAAGATAAAGCACAGAATGCCTATGAATTTGCTTCCAAGAAGGTGCAAAATACCATGGATACATCTTCGGATATGGGAAAGGATGGACTAAAGGTGGCAAATGACAAATTTCAAAATGTTTATGCCTTCACTTCTGATAAAGCAGGCCAAGCAATGAACATGGCTTCGGATATGGTTGGTGATGCAAAGGAGAAGGCTAAAGATAATGCGTACAGTGCTTATACCGTTGCCTCTGATAAAACAAATCAAGCCATGGACGGGGCTTATGGTAAGGCCCAGGAAGCTGGAGAGGCTATGAAAGATAAAGCATCAGATGCTTATGGATTTAGTCAAACCATAAGAATGGTTTCTGATAAGGCTGATGATGTCAAAGGCATGACAGAAAATGCAATGTCACATGGAAAAGATAAAGCTTTTGAGACCTTCGAGGATGCCAAGTCAAAGCTTCAGGAAACTTGTAGGCTGCCTGTTGATTCCATGACTGATCAAGCCAAAGAGAAATATGAAGCTGCCAAGGAGACAGTTTCAAAAGCTGCAAGCAATATAGGAGCAAATACGAGAACCGACAGCAGAGTCATGAATAATTACTAGCAGGTACTACGGACCACACTTCACCGTGGCATGGTCAGAATCCGCCCGGTGAGTAGCTTTTCATCTATCATCTTAGTACATTGTATTTTGGTTAAAGCTTTTATTTGATTATCTCATTTAAGTTTTTCTTTGAATAATTCAGTTGTAAGTTTAATCTTAAGATTTAGCACATGTTAATAAAAAGTAATGCATCTCAAAATCGTGTTTTTAATAGGTTTTATCCAGTCAAGGCTAAATTTGTTTGCGATATGTGCTTATATATTGTAAGATTGATAACTTTGATATCTGGAGGCAATATTTTCTTTCTGTTGTCTAAATACCATGCAGTATTACACTAGACTAGTTAGAATGTATTAGACTCTAGGTGCTCTCATTCAGGGTAAGAGGAAACTGTAAACAATTGTACTATCAGCATAAATGTGTATTATTGCGGTATATGGAATATGTTTCGAATCCTAACAAACAGAAAATTATTACAAACGTTGTCTTGATGTCATCTCATTGCCTCAAATTGTACAGGGATTGCAATGAGAATGCTGTTTCTCAATAGGTGCTATTAATGCTTGTCCTCGTGAGTGTTTTGGCATTGCCCTTTTCAGTGTTTCGACATTGTATTTTTTAATTTCATGAATGCACTTCAATGGTAGTAAATGACATAAAACACATTTGGCAATGTTACAGCTTATGTTTCTGTGTGTTCTTTTTCGTTTCTTGAGAACAAAAATTGACCTTCATTGTTTGGTTGCCTCAATGTACAAGAAATTCGACCGTTTGCTAGAATTTTTGTTTTTTTGTATGGATTTCTTTCTCTTCATCTTTTCGCTTGCAAGTCCTTTGGCTTTTTCTCTTTGTAGGTCCCTCTTTGGAATGAATGGGTATCTTTTACATGATAAAAGAATTAAAGTATGTTAAGGTCTTGTCAATTGTGCATTTTAGTACTACATACTAAACCACGAGCTTTGGGTGCAGCTAATACATGTTTCGCCTGAATTTTGAGAATATATAGGGAAACCATAATTCTGCCGGAAGTGTTTAATAAGGGCTCATGGCAATATGGGACTGAATAATTTAGGCTTCCAATGTGTTAAGTAAACTGTCTATTCAGGCCTTTGACTTCTCTCACTCTAAAGCACCCTAATAAGGATTAAAGAAAGCTTAATTGTCTCACTCAAAAAAATAAAAATAAAAATAAAAATAAAAAATTGAGGGTATGTAATTCTTGTAGTTCTCCTAAAATGGGGTCTTGCTTAAAAATTTTATTGACGTGTTTGGAATGGAGCATTGTGCAACCCCGGACAATATTGAAAAGTAAGAAAAGCTAAATTTTTTTCAAGAAAAGCTAAGTTTTATTAGTGTTGCGGGAATAAAGGAGAAGAAAGCATCCGTATCTACCAACATGAAGCGCATTGCCAGGGGGATTGAAAGTTTTCTAACATAATCATACTTTTTTTTTTCCAGTAGATCTATATTCTTCAGATTCCCCTTATTTATCTGAAGATCATTCTGATAAAATGGGTGGAGAAAATCAAACAACTATATTATTTAATACCGTGTGTCAAATACATATGGTATATGCAGCCATGGATGCTTTTATTACACTCTTATCCTCTAAACTTCCCTAGTTGAAAGTTCTAAATCAGGTTTGGCGCACTTACAAAACATTTTTCAGTGTTGTGTACCAACCACTCATTCATGTACATGGATCACCGAAGGGCAATAAAGTGTCTCTCTTTGCTGACTGCCGGGGGGCCTAAGTCTCCAGAAAATGAATGGAAGACACCATGTAGTACTGCAAAGTGGGTTATAGGCCATTCATTTTGCTGGCATACTTGTTCTTTTAGAACTTTGCATTGTCCTCGAAACTTATCTTTATTGCAAGTAAAGATGAAATAGTAAAGCACGTTTGATAGGAAAAATTTGATAACATTGGATAGATTATTGGAGAAAAGATGCTAATATCTTATTGTGTACCAAAACCTTCTCCTAGAGTGAATATTAGGGTGAGTTTGATTGCGAAGATGAAATTTGCATGAAAAGAAAATAAATTTTGGGCATTTCAATTGTCAACTTATTTGTATGAAAATTATTAATTAAATGTGTTTGATTGATTTAATTTTCAACTCATAAAATATTATATTTGTCCATTTTTTTAATCAATGAGTTGGGTGGGGGGGTGTGTGTGTGTGAAATACCTAAAAAATACAAACCACCCTCCCCCAAAGAAAATGTTTTCTTCATTTTTTCGAGAAAAATATGATCATGTGACTAAAAGTTGAAAAATATTTTTTATTGAAAAAATTGTCAATCAAACATCCCAAAAATAGAAATTTGAATGGAAAAATGACATTCTATGAAAAATAAAGTCAATCAAACACGCTTAGAGCTTGTTTGATAGGCTCCATTTTTCATTAAAAAAAATATAATTTAAAATTCATTTTCCATTCAAATGGTATGTTTGATTGACAAAAATTTCCACGTAATTGATTTTCCACCTAAGCCTTACGTGATCCCTTTTTCTCGGTTTTCAAGGAATTGGTTTTCTTTTAGTTTTGGTGAAAAATGGTTTTCCAACTACGCTCTTTTTTTTTTCTCTTTTTTTTTTGGCAATTGGAAAAAATTCTATCTTCAATTGTAACAAATTATATCCCTTTAATTGACAATTTTTATGAAAAATAAAGTCAAACGAACGCTAAAATATAGAAAATTATATCAATCAAAATATATTTAATTGATAATTCCTAGAAAAATAAGTTTTAGGCAATTTAACTTCTTGAAATTCGTTTTCTTTCCACCCAAATTTCATTCTTACAATCAAACGGCACTTTAGATTTAATTTAATGTTGAATGAACTTCTGATTTAGCCTCCGTTTGGCCCCCATTTTCAGAAAAGTAATTTTTTGAAAAAATGTGTGGTTGAAAAAGAAGGAAAAATTTTCGATTTATGTGTAATATTATTTTATAAAAGATTGTGTGGTTGAAAATAAGAGAGAAAAAAATAGAATGTAATGGAATTTAATGTAATGGGGGCCAAACGGGGGCTTAATTACTGTGAATCAATCCTTCTGACTATCATTTATCAATAACATATTTATAAATATGTATAACAGTTTTAACTTGTGAATAGTATTTGCTTGTGAATACAATTTAAATAACATTATCTGCAGTGAACAAAATATCAGAATTTCTTTGGATGGAACATAATCTAAATTGGAAAATAAAATTAAAAAAAAAGTTTAAATTCATTATTTTTTAATATTAGGAAATAGTCTCGCAATCATATTAGATTGGGTGAAACCTTGAAAGGTGCACAACTAAAATTAAATTTTAGCAGGCAAGAGGGTACAAAATTGAACTTCACAAACTCAAGAATATAGAAGTAATTACATATATGAAGTGTATGTTTTGTTAAATTGTTTTGGTGATGATTTAGTAGAACAATTAGTAACAAATCTCTCCTTTCATCTAGGAATTAATGTGTGTTACTTTTCAGTTAACAAGCCAGTTTTATGACAACAAATTCTACATGTTTAAAAGAAAAGAATTGAGAACATTAAATAACAATTAATTAACTAGATCATGACTTGCAGGAGAGGAGAATTGAAATCATCAAGGTGATTAGCCCTCTATAATCATCTTTTTTTCTGCATTAATTATGATGTTTACTATCTAAAAAGGTTAATCCACACCCATATCTCAAAAATTCAAATGGGGTTTGATTCTTGCCTTACGTTTGTCTCTTCTTCATGGCTTGTCTGTTATTGTGCATCCACACCTTGAAAACCTGCCTCTTCACTCCCATTTCATTACAGAACTGCTGCAGTTCTTGTTCATCTTTTTTCTGAATTTTCCACCCCATCCTTGTAGCAAATTCATGCATCCTATCTTTCTGTGATTGACTAAATTTCGTCCGAAATCTCTTCTTGGACCCCGAAAATGATGGCTGCACATCTTCATGTCTTCTAGCATTGCACTGAAATATGTCTATATCTTCACTAGATGACTCTGCCCCAGCTCCAACGCTGTTTCTGCCGATCGTGGTAGGCAACGCAGGGCCACTTGGAGGAGTGGCAGTAAAATGGTGCTGCTGTTGGCCGTGAATTGCCAGGTTTGGGTGGCTATTGTTATTTCTGGAGTTGAAAATGTATGTGTAGCAAGGAGATGTGCCTGTTTCCGGCTCTCCATCGGCTTCTCTTCGGTGGAAACTCCGATGGCAATCGCAAGCTGCGCATCTTAAGGCTTCTGCAGTGCCCTCTTCTCCACTAGGCATGAATTCTCCACATCCATCTAAGACATGACCTCCTACACTTGCAGCATGATTCTTTAAGCATTCTCTATATATAACACTATGAGTAGTGGCGGTTGATGTTGCAGGTGGATCATGAGGCTGTGGTTGTGGCTGTGGCTGTGGCTGTGACTGTGGCTGTGGCTGTGGGGGTGGATCTGTCTTCGAATTTGAAGTGCCATCAGTTGCTGCACCGGCCGGGGTGGCTAGATCTGGATCTGGGGTTGAATCTTTCTGTACAAGTGACGGCTGTGGCGGTGGAGGTGGTGAATTGAGCTGATGCTGATCTAGGGTTTGTCTGGGGCTGAAAATTGCAATTCCGCGGCGGGTTGAAACCGTTGCATTTCCCCTCCTATCTGATGGAGTGGAAATTATAGGGGCAAGAGGTAACTTGACTAGTGATTCTTGGTTGAGCTGTGGTGGATTATAACTCACGGAATTTGGCATCCCTATAGACCTTTCTTGAACACTACGTTCCATAAGAATTTATTTACTCAGAAGCATCAATTCTCTTCTTACTATTTCCTTTCTAGGAACCATTATCATCAAAATCTGATGTTCCACCTAGTAATCTTAGAGCTGATCTTCCATTTCTTTCTATTTGAACAATTTTTGGGTGACAAATCCACTGCCCTATATCCCTAAACTCTGAAAAATTGACCTAAATGGATTAATTTCAAGAAATCTTGAAGTTAAAACAATAATCATGGAATCTTGAAAACTAAAACTGAACATAAGACTAATTAAGATGAGACTCTTGGCTGCGAACAAACTGAATCTTAGTGTAATCAAAAGAGAAAAATTAGGTTGTACGGAAACTTCTAAACCTATATAGAAGTGTGAAAGAAATTTAGGAGAAGTTAGTGTCTCCCAACAGCCCTCAGTTTAACATTCAAAGGCATAAACCAAATGGGTTGGTTTGGTGACTGTGTGCACACTTAAGATGAGCGATAGTGATAAAGAGACTTACACTAGAAAACAACCGACAAGCTCATTTGGGTTTTCTTCCATAGCCTGCACAAAGGTCCACTGTCCCATTATTGCCTCACCTATGCATTCTTACCTTATATGATGCCACTCAAAGCCTAAAACGTGTGTGTGTGTGTGAGAGAGAGAGAGAGAGGTAACTTTGGTTGGATGCAGGAATCCTGCAAATCTGTAGGTACTTGTGTAAACTTGGTTTATGTGATGTTAAGGCTCGTAAGATGCATTTACATTTAACCTTTATTTGGGCTGCATATCTAAAAAATGCTTTTTTTCGAAATTCATTTTGAATTACATATTCTCTTAAAAAATAATGTTACACATACATAAAAAAAAATTCTTATTTTTTAACAACACATTCTTTAAAAAATTACTATTCTAAAACACATTTTTTCCAAAATTTCAGAGACAGTAGTGTGAGAGTGAGTTTTTGAGGTTGTGGGGGATGAATATAAAGTGAAAATTATGGTCCACAGCACATAGCATCTGGTCCCAGTTAGTGTGTATGTCAGATTCTTCTCTTTCCTTCTTTATTCGGCCCCCTCGTTCACGCTGTCTTTCACTCTCTCTTTTACTCCATTGGTGAGGCAACAACAAAGATTAATGACTCTCCGAGATGGTGATCAACAATACTGAAATTAAGACATGGTCCAAACTCCTATGAAACAACGGAAATGACCCAACGAAAGCTTGAACGAGCAATATTATGTCGAAGTAAAAGATTTATGAATTTTGAAATTCTCTTCTTGGAAAAGAATCAAAGCAACAATGGTATTGTTTCTCTAGCAACGGAGCAAATTCTCTTCAAACTTTGAGTCTCCCTACATGTATATGTCGTAAAAATGATCAAACATCATTTCAATGTACACATTCTAAACGGTTCATAATTTTTTATTATTATTTTTTATCTACACATTTTGTATGATTCATAACTTAATCTATAAAAAAAATTTAAAATTTTTTTTTAAAAATTTGCTAAACATACACTGCTACAAGAATGTTAATCAATTGGCATCTACTCATATTCGGTGCTTTGCTTAGTAGTAAAGTTTGTACCAGTAGTAGTGTCACGTTCAATTTTGTGACTTAGGTGCCGTGTGCCTGTTTTATTTGACTATCTCTGCCCTTTTCTTTCTTCAGAGTTTAGACTACTGTTTAACTTTGGTCCACGCGTAAATCTTGTCTTTTCTAGTTAAAAAGGGCTGAAATTCGATAGTGATATTACAATGTTGGACCGTTAAATTACTTATGACCAACGTACATTTTTTAGTGTGCTTATAAGAGAAGATTTTGGTAGCATCTATTGAGTATAAGGTCCGTTTGGTAGTGATTTTGATAATTATTTTTTGACCATTAGGAAGACAAGTAAAGGTCACAAATGAGTGAAAAAGTAAAAAATGACGATTGAAATAGTAAAATAACGATAAAAAATCAATTTTTTTGGATGAAAAATCATTACCAAATGGGACCTTAAGACTTCTACGAAGATGTTGGGCCATTCTGTTTATGTTTAATAAAATGTTTGTATGGGAATTAGTATCGAGTTAATATTTGAACTTTACAATATAAAATACAAGAAGTAGGGTTTATTGGAAAACACAAGTTCCAAGCTATTATTATATACACAAAAATTATTTAGAGGCTGATTAAATTAATACACAATAATTCCTTCATCTTCATGATTGATAGAATTAGTAGCCAGGGAGTGATAAACGTGTTCGAAGCCTGACCATACCCATGTAGTTCCAAGATTTGAGATTTCTATTCAAAATATAATAAATAATTAATACATGAAAGTTTAAAATAATAGTCACTTATCTTAGAAAAAGTTGGCGTAAAATATGAAGAGGGCGTTTGTGGGTATTAAAATTAAAGTTTTAATAGATTGTGTGATAAAAAAAAATATGTAAAGAGTGGTTGAAAGTTGTGGAACTCATAAAAGATGTGGTTAATATCAATTATTTGACTTTGACTTATATTAAAATTAAATTTTAATCATTTCCAAACATACTCAAAATTTAAACAAGGTATTGTGGGTGATTGGATTTAATCATCACAATAGGAAATTAATTTTCTTTTGAAAATTAAACCCAAATAAATAAAGAATTTTAGAGTCCGTTTGTTTGCAAAGATGAAATTGAATTGCCTAACAAACAAATTACAGGGAATTAAATTGTCTATAAATTATTTTCCTGGAAATCGTAAATTATTGAGTTTAATTGGTATAATTTTTCAAGTGAAAAATGTTGAAATAAAAGTGTTTTTGTTGTTCATTTGGCTTTAATTTACATGAAATTTGTTAATTAAAGGAATAGAATTTACTGGTATTTGGGATGAAACTTGTTCCCATTGCCAAAAAAAAAAATTCAAAAAAATCATTTATCTTTTGGTATTCGTTTAACTTTATTTTACATGAAAATTGTCAATTAAAAGGAAATATTTTTTTACGATAATTCTTAGAATTTGTTTCCATTACCAAAAAAAAAAAAAAAATGCTACAGTATCCGGGAATTCCAATTCTCGCCATTTTGGTAAGAATTGCAATTCCTTGAATTCATGGAAATTGGCTTATGTGGCACCAAAGATGAAAATTCAATTCTGGGGAAAAAAAATTGCTACCAAACAAAGTTAAATTGGAAGGCAGAATTTCACCTCTAATCAAACACTACCTTAGATCACCTTGAGATCATTGCATGTTTTTAAATCCTCACACATAAAGAGAGGATGATACCTTGAAGGAACTTTTAATAGCCTAATCAAATACTTTCTCCCTTAGATCCTCCCTCCTGTGCTCGTTAAGTACCTTCGTCTTTGAGATAAAAAAAAATGAAAATATGGCTAATCCTAAAACCATATGAAAATGTGCCCATAAAGGGCATATTTATAATACGTACTTAGGGTTTTATAATTGCACAAATTTTCTTGGACTTTATTGTAGTAGACTAATTAAGTCGCACGCCTTTATTTGAGCCAAGAGATTTTCTAATCGGACTCACAAAACTCAAACTCTAATAGATGTTTCTAATTGGGTCAACTCTTGACCAATCGAGATACATTTATTAATTCCAACTTATTCTACCAAAATATTGAGATTGCACTCTAGAGTCAAGTGATATTTATAGAAGCAAATTATGATCCGATAATAATATCCTCCGATTATCGTTCTACCAGTCAACCCCCATTTGAATGTCAATATGTTGAAGATGACAAAATGACTATTTTGTCCGTCAACATGTATTATCCTATAAGTTCCATTTTCATGAGGCATATTCGTTGTGATCAAATCGCAATATATATATAGTCCAATGATCTCATTATCGGACTACTGAGCTCAAGTTCAATTGCCTATAGAAAACACCATTGAGTGACGATAGACCATCTTGATAATTAACAGATTTCATTATCACAAATATATGATCTCTAATCATTTCGACCTAATTCATAAAGCACCGAGATCAATCTTTTAATTAAAACTTCACTCATTAGTACCTCAAAAAACTTGAACTAGCAATCAAAGATACATTACTCGCTCAGGATTTAGGTGATTCGTTTGATAATCAAGTAGATTTTTCCGAGTGGTCTCAAATAGGTCGTCTACGTGGTCTCATTCAATGTGCATCAAAAAACGCTTTATTGTTTTTATTTCCAAATCTATTCAAAACTTAATAAGAACAATGTACTCTTATCAACATAAAGTGTCTAACTTTATGTACTGATTGTGAAGACATATTTTCATCACATCACGAATTGTCTCACTATACCTAAACCATCGAATACACAATTTATGACATCCTATATGATCATGGAACTTTTAAATAAATTGTTTCAAATTGTAACACGCGAATAATCGAACATCAATTCATAATGTCATTTTACAAAATACTACTCAAAAAGGGCGTTAAACTAATGGGTATGATAGTAAAGACAGGCTCAAATAAGCAGTTTGATTAGGCAAAACCTCAAACGGATAATGAATTCTAAAGTTATTGTTCTAGGTTGATTGTATTGAATGAGCATATTTATTAACAGAGAATCAAATCGACAATAATTAAAATATAAAGACTTTATTCTTAGGAATATTTGAGCTATGATCTTTGACAAGGTCCAATTATATCTTGCAAAGGGCATGTTGAGGGTAAACTTTATGTAACTTGTAATATGAAACAATAATCAAAACATTAGTCTTTGATTGCTCCGCTTAACAGTGTTAATTTTTAAAATTGGATTTTTGAAATATATTTGGCATGTCAGATTAAGCCCACGTGTTGAGGATACATTTGACTCCCATGCCCAAGCCGAGGATGGGGTCCCCAACGCCAGAGGACACATTCTTGGTGGCTTCCATAAATGCCGGCTTTTAAAAATTCAATTCCATCCAAATATTTTTTTCAATAAAATAATTTTGCGTCTATTTCCAAAATTTATATATACGTCTTAATCATGCATTCTGTAAAAAATCACTATTACAACACTCATTTTGACCAAAAAAGAAGCTCAAATCGGGGGTAAATAACATTGAGTGGTAAGTTATACGGTGGGAACTCGACAATTTAATACTTGATAAATTAATATTCTCTATTAAATAATATTTTTGACTGGTCTTAATTTGAGAATAACGTGATAAACTAATAATTTGCTAAATTTATAAATTAATACATTATTAAAAAATTCATATAAATCTAACGCGTACAGTGTAAATTAATAATTTTCTGATACATACTATTGGACTGGAAGACATTCCTAAAATCTGATATTGTACATTAATTTGACGTTACTTTGGATTTCATCTCTAAACTTTCTTAATATTGTGGTGCAAGATAAGAAGCCTTTTGTAGTACTATGACTTTCTTTCTTTTTTTTTTTTTTTTATAAATTTAAATAATGTTTTTGCTTGGTTAAATATTCTTAAAATGAAATAATGCAGTACATTAAAAATGTGCGATCTATGCCCCTATTTGGTAGATATCAAAATCAGATTTTTAATAAATTTGAATAAAAATGGATGAAATGTGTAGTTGCAAAGTTGTAAAACTCATGAAATATAGGTTTAATATTGATTGATTTTAACTTAAATTAAAATCTAAATTTTAATCCGGACCAAACAAGGACATAATATTTGAGAAAAATAAGTAGAATCAAGAATTTTATTTTATTACTCATACATGGATATGTTAGCTTGGAAAACGAGAAACCGGATAATGTACACTATTTTAAGTAAATAAGAAAAACCTAACTGAATTAATTAGTGTAATTTCATACTTAAGCATGTGTCTA